ATTTTTTTTCTTCGGAAAATCTGAAAATTCTATGCAGCTTTATCATTTTTTTAAATCCGGAAATCCCTTGAACATTTATCGAATTTTTTGGAAACATCCGAAATCTTTTATTGTTTTACAAGTTTTTTAGAAAAGTCTGAAATCTAAATTTTTTTAACGTAATTATTACCAGAGATTTCGAAAAATCCAGATAATGTGTTGAATACCCGATTTTTTGAAAAGTCTGGTATAGAGAATTATTTGGAAAGAGATAAAAATCTGGCAGTTCAGTATGCTCTAATTATGCGATCCTGTTTCTGATGGTTCCGATGTGGATTTTACTCAGTTTTTCAGCACTGATGCTGTATGTTTCACTTTAATGTATACTGTTAACATGAATATGCAATCATTCTTTATGATATCTCATACATTAATAATTTATTTTGTATACGTTGTATATGTCAGATATTGCCCTCTCGGGTGACGATTTGGCATTGGGCGTAGTCCGTTGGTAAATAACATGATATTGTTGTTGTTGTTACTATTCATTCTAAAACCCAAATGGCATGAAATGAAGGAAAGATAAATTGATTATGAATTGTAAGAGAAGATAAAATCACAAGAAGAAGACCGTGGTTGCAGGTAATTATACTATGAAAGTGAAATTTTCATTTATGCCGAGATTTATGCCAAATGGAAACGAATGGAAGGTTACGGTCAAGTGTCATGTGAGTTTCAAAATCATATGCTAGCTAAGGACTTAAATGGGAATGACATATTAGGTTGTTTAAAAGATTATGAAAGAAAGTTTGTGAATGACATTACCAAATACATCATGGCTCTTAGATACATAGTTGCTACTTTGAAAGATAGAGATTCAGAAAACCTAACAAGTGTTAGCTAGGTCTACAAGGCTAGATCAACATACAATGCGAGCAAGAGATGACAGTTTACTGAAATCCAACATCCGATGAGTCTTATTCATAAAGATAAATACATATATTAAACTAGAAATATGGATTATTCCAAATTTATTGTTGATATATTTTGGACACACCTTGATTTAGTGAATTTGTTGAACATGTTTCATTTTGTGTTAATTTTTGATTGCACATACAAAACAAATACGCACTTCTTATGCCAAATGCTTATATTTTAATTTATTTGTTTTGGAAGTTGTTAGGGATTGTTGATGATTTAATATACGTACAAAACAAACAAGTATCAACTACCACAACTTGAGATTGTTGGTGTTACATTCACGAAGTTGGCATTTTTGGTTGGTTTTGTATATCTGGAACATGAAAGGGAGGAAAACTTCACGTGTGCACTAGAAAAGCTAAAAGAGTTGTTTGCTTATAATAGGTTTCTACCAAATATTTTGGTTACTGACTATGAAATGGCATTGATGAATGTTGTACAAGTTGTATGTCCAAAATCATATCATTTTCTGTGTCTATTCTATATTACAAAAAATGTTAGTATGAAGTGTAACGAGTATGTGAAATCACATAGGCATGAGCATGTTATAGATATGTGGAACATCATCGTATATTCGAATACAAAGAATGATTTTGTAGTACACCTAAAGCATTTTGAAGTTCTATGTGCTAATATTCTAAAATTTGTTCAATATATGCATAAAAATTGGTTGAATCCCTATAAAAAAAGATTTGTTACTGCTTGGACTAATAGAGTCACTCACATAGGAAACACAACAAAAAATTGGTACATTGATGTTAATATGTTAGTTACAATACTAACTATCAAATAATGATATTTTGTCATGTTTATGTTTTTTAGGATTGAGTCTGCTCGCTAGAGACTAAAAATATGCTGACAAGTAGTAGGCAGTGGCAGAGCCAGGACCCTAGGTCAGGGGGTGCAAATTATTTTTAATAATATATATTATAAAGGTTAAAAATAATTTTTCATGATAAAAAAAATTATAATTTTTTTTAATAAAAGTTATACAATTTACATTTTTTACTATATTATATTTAGTTATAAAATCATATTGAATATTGAAAATAGTTAATATATAAATATATAATTCTAAAATCAATTATTGTATGTGATCATTTGGAATAGGGGCAAATTGCTAAGTTTTTTCAATAACAAAATCTGAGTTCAAATGTCATACCATTTTAAAGTTAATTTTATTTAATGATATTTTAAAATAATACTCCACTTATTGTTGATGATAGAGAAATATATATGGTTTGTTATTTGCTAGTGGCGCATTAAATTGTGAGAGAGAAGAGGTTGGGTGCAATGCTCAAAAGTCAGGGGCGCAAAAATGAAAAAAAATATGAATTATTGATATAAAATTTTAAATCTCAGGGGGTTCATTTGCATACCCTGGCTACAATGTGGCTCCGCCCTTGGTAGCAGGAGAGATTTATGTAGACGTTGAGATGTTATTAGCACCATGTTGAAGCTGCAATCAAGTTCATTTAGAGTGTCGTTTAAAAAAGTGTATGTAACATTGAGCATCGATATAACGCTCTATTTTACTCAAATTATACGACTTCGTTTCAAGACGATGTATACAACACTTTGAAAAGGAGCCAAAAAAGATAAAATTTGTTGGTTGTAACAAATCAACACATGGTTGCTTCATTAGAACAACACATGAGTTACATTGTGCGTGTGAACTTGTAGGTTATCGAATACAAGGGGAGCATATTTCATTAGATTCAATACATATGTTTTTGAAGAAATTATTCATTTAAGAGCACGAGGTCACTGAAGAATAAAATTGGACACAATTGGATTTAGAAGAAGAGTGTGAAGAGATGGAGAAGTATTCAGTACATTGAATATTGTAGGCCAATGGATGATGAAGAGAAAAGTTCAGGAACTAACACTTACATTCATAACTTTCATGTGTCCACCACCAGTGAATTACAAGCTAAAGAAAGGAATTAAGAAGATTAAAAAGAGTGAAAAGAGTGAGGTGCATTGTGATCCTTCACAGTGAGAGTATGCTGAGGGTTCGCAGAGAAGTTAGAGTACGAAAAGATCATGTACAAAACCAACTAAGAGTCAACCGTGTAACGTGTCTTCAAAACTAGAATATTTGTCTTAGTTTCCTGTTTACTTACATCAGCACATCGATGACATTGTTGATGTTGGCGATGATGGAAATTATGATTTTCAGGTTATTGTAGCTTTACTTGGATGTGGCAAATAGTCTTGGCCTTTGATTCGAACTCAGCTAGATACTAAAGTTTATTAACACCACCAACTGTATTTCAATTTGTTATATGACACAATACCCGAAGTTAGAAGTGCATTGGGGGTTAATGGTTTTAATGGGCAGGGTCGTGATAAGTGGTTGACGATTCCTGATATGATTTATTCTATTGCTTCTAGATACATTGTTATATTGATCTCTTTGTACATGAACCTTAACATCACATTCTTCTCATTAGTGATAGCTTCATGCATAGCGTCAAGTAGACACAAAATGATTGCAGTTGATTTTGTTAACAATAATCATTGGATTTAGGTGAAGTTGAAATCCAATTCTCCTTTGCTTTCCGTCACAGACTAATGAAGACAGAACTGTAGTGAAATTGCAAGAGCATGAGAATCAGCATATGAGATACATATTAGACATTGGACATAAGTTTCTAAGAAGTTGACATAATTTATTTTGTAATGATGTTATAACACTTTTGCATTATAAGTATATGTTTTATCTGCTATACTGTTAAAAAAAATTAAAATTTTTTTCATTACTATCTATCGGACTTTTTTAAATATCCAAATTTTAATGTATACTGATAAGTTTAATAAGTTTTTGAATTTTTTGCAATATTTAATAATTTTATTTTGGGATTTTTGAAAAATCTGATAATTTTATATAATTTTTTTAGAACGTCTTAAATTTTTACTGGCAATTTAATAATATAAAGTATTTTTGTATTCTTTTGCAAAATATTGGTAATTTTTCAAAATATCCAATAATTTACATCCAAACGGAAAATTTAAGGAAAAATCTAGTAATTAATTCAGAATTTTTCAAGATTCAAAACTTTTTTAAATCCAGTAATTTATTCTCTATTAATATAGAATTAGACTATTGTTTAATGCTATTTATTCTATATGCGTGACCATGCTCTGAATCAAGTTTATGTTTATGATTTTTTTAAAACAATTATTCCGTTCATATACTTTTGTGATATTATTAATTTGTGATATGAATTTAAATTTTCAACTGGAACACAAACTTAAGTATTTTGTTTTATATTTTTTTCAGAGAATAATATTTATATACAGTCAGTGTAAAGTTTTTTTACACATTCAATCAATAGAAAATCAATAATTTATTATATAATTAAATTTTTTAAAAAATTAAAAATAAAATATAATAAAATATATAATTGTGATTAATTCACAGTATAAAACTATTTTATACATAATTTATTTTCTCTTTTTTTTCATCAACTCTTTTTAATAATCTAAACAAATAAATAATACAACACAATTTTCAACAAAAATTAAAAAAAAATGAAAACAATACTTCATTGACGATATTAGCATAAAGTATTTTATCTTTGGAAGCTTCCAAAAGCAGAATCCATAGAGGGTGCTTTTCGATATTTCAAACAAATGAAATAAAAATAAAATTAATTCCAGTGATACCCTTTCTCTCCTCTCATAAAAGTCAATTCTCTTACAACTCTCTCATATCTCGCGTTACTCCAAAGCTTCCTTCACACACGAAGCTTTCATCGCCAAAGGTAATTTCAAATCTCAGATCCATTTTCTCTTCGTTTTTCAATCGATCTTAGGGTTTTCCGATCAATCTCTTCAGATCCTTCCGTTTTCCCCTTCTCAGGTCCTGTAACCGTTCATTCCCCGCGATCTATTTGTATGCTAATTCTTTTAGATCTTCGATTTGCGTGAATGATTTTATAAGATTTTTTTTGTAGTGAGATTTGTTATTTTTTTGTTATTGAAATATTGTTTTGAACAATGGAATTAGGGAGGATCGAGTAAGGGAAGGAGAAATGGGGCTGACATTCACCAAGCTGTTCAATCGGTTATTTGCGAAGAAGGAGATGAGGATTTTGATGGTTGGTCTCGATGCGGCTGGTAAGACCACTATTCTTTACAAGCTCAAGCTGGGAGAGATCGTCACTACTATTCCTACCATTGGTAAGTTTTTGTCACTTTCTTTTTATTTATTTTTTCATATTTTAAGAAGGGAATTTGTGCATATACGTATGATCATTATCGGTCGTCAATAGCGTAGGTCTTTATTACATTCATTTTGATGTCTTATGAAAATATCTTCATGATGAGTTAATTATTTATTTAACACAATGATATCTATAACTGAGTTCTAGCTCTTTTACCTCAATGATATTTGAAATGGAATGAAACTAAATATGTGAAGAAACCTTTTAATTTCATGTTTTCAACTCTGAGATCCCAAATAATTGTGGGTAGATTAGATGCCATGTAGTACTCCTCCTTTAGTTCCTATATACTCTTTGCCTTTTAAGCTTTTTTCTACTCAACAAGAAATAACTTTAATTGATAAGCAACTTTCAAATATAGTCTAATCTTTTATTGGACAAGTTTAATCTTTTATCGACAAAAAGTAGTTAATGTGACCTTGAAATTTTGAAATGATAGATTAATAGGAGCATTTTTTCTGATTAACACAATTGAAAAGGAATGGAGGAAGTGATATGTAACTCTTTGGGTCCTGATGTCCAGTTATTCTTCAACAACTACAATATTACTTTTGAAAAGCTTTCTGTGATAATTATTCGACAATATTATAATACTTTTATTCAGTTTGTCAGATTGCTGAATATTGTGATGCTGTTATGTATATGCTTTAAATTATTTATTTGTTTTGTTTTAGGGTTCAATGTGGAGACCGTGGAGTACAAGAACATTAGCTTCACCGTTTGGGATGTCGGAGGTCAAGACAAGGTGTAAATTTTTGTTCTTATGCATTTTGTAGAGTTTCAATTTACAATTATTTTAGTGCAAATAACTAAAATGTATCTCTGAGAAGTGTATTGGAAGTCAGTGGCTGAATTCTTCTGTTTTCTTTTACAGATCCGTCCCTTGTGGAGGCATTACTTCCAGAACACTCAGGGTCTTATATTTGTTGTAGACAGCAATGACAGGGATAGAGTTGTTGAGGCCAGAGATGAGTTACATAGAATGTTGAATGAGGTACTATAACTTTAATTTTTGGTCTTCGATGCCATGTCACCGCATTCATATCTAATCATGTTAGATGCTCCTAAGACATATTGGAGGAATTCATTCTCAATAGAACAAGTTTGGGATCACTCGCACATGGCTGAAAGGAAGCACCTTTAACTAGAGTAGTTAAGATTGAAAGGTCAAAGAATCATATTGACCAATGATGAAAACTCGCTTATGTAGTCTCAAAAAATTCAAATATTTCTTTTTTGGATTTTGGGAAAGAAACACTCTGTTTTAATCAGAAAATGTCGAACATTTATCTGTATCTTCTATGACTCCGACTTTTCTACTCATTAATCCAGTACAAGATGCTACCTGTTGATGTGACTATATTGTATATTTTAGGAGTTGAATGACTAGTTCTAGTTATCTGTTGATGTGACTGTTGTAAATTTTAGGGGTCAAATGACTAGTTTCTGTCAATTTCCTATGATGATGAGCATCTGTCTCAACTTTATTGTTTTCTAGTATCTCGAAAAGAATCATCAGTCTCCTCGTTCTTTTGTTTTCTGTTTTTTTATGTTCTTGTGATGAAATGAGAATTTTTGAAATCCCTTATTTGATTATCTTTTCAGGATGAATTGAGAGATGCAGTATTGCTTGTCTTTGCCAACAAACAAGATCTTCCCAATGCAATGAATGCTGCTGAAATTACTGACAAGTTGGGTCTTCACTCTTTGAGACAGCGCCACTGGTAAATATTTTAATGATGAATCCCTTTGTGCCGGAATTGATTATTATCTTGTGAGATCTAACACACTCTTCTGGTTCTTCCAGGTACATCCAGAGCACCTGTGCAACCTCAGGGGAGGGTCTTTATGAAGGTTTGGACTGGCTTTCCAACAACATAGCCAATAAGGTGACTACTGTTTTCTTCCCTGCCTTTTTGTGCAAATGTTGATTTGAATATAATGCAAAAGTGCACCATGCAATGTGCCCGTGGCTCTTTGGTGTCATATTCTTTCATTTTTTTAAACAAGAGTATGATCTTTGGAAACACTTGGGTGACTTTTTTTTCTTGATTTTTTCTACCTTTCAGGCTTAATTCTTTATCGGGAGTGTTGTGGATTGGTGGTTCTGGATGCAGGGGTGAATATTATCTAGCTTTCCTTTTTGAGTCTTGTGGAGCAGTAATTCTGGATGCAGAGGAAAATATTATCTAGCTTTTATTTCTCTGTCATCTTCCAAATCAACTTGAATTTGTGTTTCATGTTTAGGATATCTTGGTGCCTAAAATTGTAGTAGGAATTTGTTTCATGGGCTTTGTATTACTTTTGAGCTTTCTATTGGGTTTCTATATGCAATGTCCATACCTGTAATGGAGATACAATTAAATGTGACTCATTTTCTGATTTATAGATTTATTTTGGTCATATACCTTTCATAATTGATGGGTAATTTGTTTATATTTATATCCTTTGCTAGGTATCATGAAAAAATTGTCCGTACTTTTAAGTGCGGTATTTGCATGTTTAATATTGAGCCCAATATGTTTAGATGAGAAATATCATTTGTACGGTAAATTAGCACTTTCAATTCTATTTTGTCATTTTTCATAAAGAACCAACCGGTCTTTAATCTGATATCTTCAGTTTTATTACTTTTTCCCTTCAAAATCATTAACAATATGAAATCATTCTCTGCTACTTTGTTTGTGAATTCGTATCGAAGTAATGTGTTTATTAGATATAAATGTATGAATTATGAATGAATTATAAGTTAAGATGTTTGATGAGTTTGACTTGTTATGTGTTGCCGATGATTATGTGAAGTTTTATAAACTTTGTTTCTATGACAAATCATATGTGTTGCCGATGATTATGTAAAGTTTTATAAACTTTGTTTCTATGACAAATCATGTGTTGCCGATGATTATGTGAAGTTTTAAAAACTTTGTTTCTATGACAAATCAGCCCATATATCTTTTCGTATTTATGTTTTGGGAAATTCCCGTATGGAGGGTGTTTTGCGCTGGAACAACAATTAAACACGGTCTAACTCACTCTTGCTCCAAGACAGCTTAAAAGTATGGCTCAAAAGTATTGGTCCAACCAACTTCGGTTAACAGAGGACACATTTCTCCTCTGCCCGACAATTGGGGACGTGTGGTCGAATCAACCCACGGACGAGGCCACACGTGTCCGTGACCACGCCCTTGCTCGTGACAATGGTTAGTTTCACATTTCTGCCCGTGACAACGGCTAGTGCGAGCATCTCTTTCCAGGATCGCGAGCACGGACTGCTCGTTCTTGTTTTCACGCAGAAATTCTGACAGTTATCTATTTTGGGCTCAATATCCAGACCCAAAAGTAGGAACCAATGACCAAGCGACATGGTCATTATATAAACTCTCACACTTGTGAGGGTCAGATATTCAATATTCAACCCTAAAATCCTTTTTTTCTCTCAAGTATCTCTTTGCACTCTTACTTACTTGAGTATCAGAGTGCCTTGGAGGTACACCCCTCCTCCGTTATTTCAGCATCAAACACAAACATTGGTCCATTACAGGTTCTAATCACCGGTAAGATCAATGACGCCGTCTGTGGGAAATCTGCTTTCCCTATCTTTCTTTCCCTGGAAATCAAGGATCAAAGCAACATTTTAAGATTCCAATCATGGCCGATCAGGATGACGACAACCTTGCTCATAAAATCGTCATGTCACATGTCAATAAAAAAGACAACGAAGAAATGCCTTTTCTCGAAAGCATTCCCCTGAAAAGAGACGGTTGAACCGCGTCTCACTCCTCCGAAGAAGCAGATGACGTCGACGTTCATTTATTGGAAACCAAGAAAGTTTAAGAAGAAACACCAGCGATTTTCCAGCCAATATCGGTGCCAACCAACGCTGACCCAGTTATGACAGCCTTGCTCACAACACTAAATTAAACCAACGCTCTGATCCTTCAGCAGAATGATAGGATCATAGCATTAAAAAAATGACGTCGTTCAAGATCTCCTCCACGGAGAAATCGACGACGTGAGTCTCGTAGCCCATCATCGCAACGGCCAAGCCGTCGCTTAGCATCGAGAAAACTAGAGGTTTCTTTTATCAAGAAATGCAGCCGTACTTCGCCCCACAAAGACCAGATCTTCCAGGTTACAAAGAAGACTAAGGGTAATTGACGACTAGAAACCCTTCGTTCACCCTCCCTCAAGCCAAAATACCGTCCGAGAAGCTTGACTCTCAATCAAGAAGACATCCCTCGTCGGGGTAAGAATAACTACTCGTCACCACAGTCACCTGAGTGGAGCAACGAAGACGACTTCTGCGGTCCACTTTCACGGGAAATCATGGAAACTCCTCTACATGTCAGGTTGGAAAAACCTTCAAACTTGGGGACATATGACGGAACTACTGATCCAGATGAGCATATCGAGAGTATTGATGCCCTTCTCGACTACCGAGGCGTCAGGGGAGCCATCAAATGATGGGTTTTCCCCACCACTATGAGGAAGTTGGATATGGTCTGGTATAATAGCCTCCACGATGAGTCTATCACATCCTGCAAGAATATCGGGAAACAGTTCTCTAGCCACTTTACAGTCTCGCATGCCACCCAAAATTAGAGGCATCACTGGAGGCAATCATACATGGGAAGGACGAATCCCTATGTGCGTACATAGAGAGATTCAACCGTGAAGCTGTCCAGGTCTCCACGACTGACGATATGAAGAAATATCTCCTCGAGCGCGAGCTACGTCCCTGCAACAATTTTGCAAAAAGAGCCGGCATCGAAACATCGGCCACACTGGATGCCCTCCTCCTGAAAGCCCAAGCGTACATCCAGTAGCTGCCAATAACACTCAGTGATCGTGACTTTAAGAGTCTATGAGAATTACTGTCTGCAAGTGCACAATCTAATTGCGTAGTTTTAAAAGATATCAAACCCACATGGACTGATAATCAAACTAATGCTATCTAATGTTAATATGTAAATCTAAGGATGATGATTAATCTTGGGTTTTTGAGAGAAACGGAGAATAAATTCAGATTTAATTAAAATATTCAATAACAGGATACCGGTATGCAATTTGTCAAACTTCATGGATTCGATAAATCGGCGTAATCTTTAAAAGTTAAAATACTCTTCAATATAAAATATCAATTTAAAAGCATTTGTCTCACACTCTCGTGTTTATTGACTCTGACTAAACTCCTAAATCAGAATACTTTGCTCTTGGTGTCTCATTTGAATTTAGAAATGATTTTTGGAAATCAATAGATTCTAATTAACCCTAAAGTGTTCTCGTTGTGTTTAGAATCAATGTCTAGTTTTTACTATCCGATTAAAAATCTCAAACTCCTATTTTATTGATTATAACATTTGTGTGTCTTTTACTCTCGTAACAAAACTGTTTCAATTAAAATTATGAACTAAACCAGAAAAATAGTTTGTGAAATATTTTCGCCAACATATTAATAAACCATGTCTGTGAAACTACTTTCACATATCGGTATCAAGGGAATTAGCCGGTCATGGTTTTAAATGTAAATGTTCTATCTAAAATTTGCCCTCTCATTTTTCAAGGTATTTCTCACAAGGATTCTCAAGGTTCAAGCTTGCACATGTACATTGGAATTTTCCAGTATCAAGATTAAAAAGAAAAATGTCAAAAAGGGGGAAAAACAGATAAAATTAATATTTTGACAAATTTGGAGAAAAATAAGTGTTTTTCGATTCAGCTCCTTCGATTTGGCCTTTTGACCTCTTTCGATGCAAGCTTGGCTTGCATCCTTCGACTGGGCGTGAGCCTCTGACACGCTGGCTTAGATTCACAAGGCATAAAGCCTCCTGTAGCCTCCTTCGATTCCAAGACAAAAGAGTCCCTTTTGGCATCCTTCAATTTGCATTTTTTGCCTCCTATATGCCTCTTTCAAATCTGGACATTTTGGCCTCCTGCATGCACCTTCGTTTGGGCATGTGGTTCCTTTGTTGCAAGCTTCGTTTGGACATTTGACTCCATTCATGCTTTCTTTCATTTGGGCACATGAATCCTTCAGTACAAGCTACTGGTCACACCCTTCGTTTGGGCACATGAATCCTTCAGCACAAGGATTTGGTTAAACCTTTCGTTTGGGCATGTGGTTCCTTCAGTACAAGCTATTGGTCACACCCTTCGTTTGGGCACATGAATCCTTCAGTACGAGGTTTTGGTCAAACCTTTCGTTTGGGGCATTTGACTCCCTTCATGCTTGCTTCGTTTGGGCACATGAATCTTTCAGTACAAGCTACTGGTCACACCTTTCGTTTGGGCATGTTGGTTCCCTTCACACAAGCATCGTTTGAACATAGATCTTTTACATGTTTGCATGAAGTCACAAGGGAGGGACCCCCTATGTACACTCCTTCGTTTGGCCACTTGGATCTTTGGGCAGGCAAGCCTTTGACTGGACAGAACCACCTTCACAAGGTTTCCTTACATCATGTTCCCCCTTCGAATCAGCATCTTTCGAATCCAACTGTGGGCATCCCATTCCAAGGACATGCCTGATGGTCCATTCGAAGGATTTACAAGCCACTTTAAGGCATGTTTTTGGTGACCCATCCAAGGGTCACCATTTTGGCTCCTTCGAAGGAAGCACAAAAGTGAGTATCGAAAGGCACTTGTTAGAGGAAAATCAAATAGTATTGTTTGGAGAAGAGTCTGGTCGGAGAAGGGGAAAAATGAAAGGGTGATATTCAAAGATGCTTGCTGCCAAGTTCAGGCCTGACACACTGGCCAAAACTGATGCACAGCAGTCCTGAAGCACCGTCCCCTTATTACACCAAAATAGCATACAAGGCACTATCCCTCAAAAGCTACAAGGAACAGGTTACTCAAATTGTTCAAACCTTTTGTTTTCCCTCCAAAAGCTTCATCCAGCCTTGCCTATAAATAAGAGGCCTCACAACACATCCAGGGAGGACTTTTTGGCCAGAGGAACGAATCTTCAAATTTCTCAAACCCATAAAGCTCTCAAACACTTAAACACTTGTGAAAAACAAAAACCCAGAATCTAACATTTACCTCTTTCGAACCTGAAAAGTCCCACACATTTTAATCCCTTTCGAATCCAGTAGAAAATACATCTCATTTGTTTTTCACCTTCGAATCAAGCAGTAGAAACACCGCCTTCACTCCTTCCCATCGAATCCAGGGACATTCAAAGCAATCGCTCAAATACCAACACACGCTCCAACCTCAAGCAAGGTAAGTTTCTCCAAGCCTTAAACTTTTCGTTTCTAGTATAGCATGTAAATAAATTTCCTTTTTGTTTCAAACATGTACATAGTATTTGCTTCCTTTTTGTTTACACCCTTTTTTTAATATGTTTCATGGTTAACAACCTTCTTGGTTTTTGCTCCTTGTATATTTTAAATATGCTTTAAGAACTAATTTGGCCCCAAGATGATGCTAGCATGGCCTTAGGCCACGTTGCTATTCAAAACTTAAACGAAAGAAACAGGAAACAAGAAGTAGGAAACGAAGCTTCTGGCTTCCATACCAACCTCCAGGACAAACGAAAGAGGCAGCCAGAAGGCACACCATGCTGGTTCCAGGCCCAGACGAAAGGCACTCCTTCACTACTTTCAACCTCGAGTCGAAGGAGGCAGAAAGGCAGATTGCATCTTG